AATCTGAAAGCTTCCAGGTTTTCCCCACCCAAATGAAAGTCCAAGCCCCTGCCCAGCACCCACATGTCCATCACATGGTCTAAATCCAACAAGACAAGATAAGGTAATTAATCTGGCAGGGAAAGCAAGATAAGGAGTTCCAGAAGTGAAGTAGAACAGCAGTAAATCAAACCAGTTGGGAGGATGCTAGGAATTCAGATAAGCAGTTAAACTCAGTGTTTGTTCTGGACAACTACCCGTCCCATTTGCCTCTCCTTTAAGCTCCATCCCCAGGTGTGTCTTTTGAAGGGAATCGGGACCCTTTCCTCTCTTGCAAGCCACACAACCCGTGTTGCTCTCTTCTTCGTTCTTTCCTGCATGCCCTAGGATGAGGAGTGGGTGGACCTTTGGTATTTATCTGAACCCCCTCTCCCCTGCTCTGCCCAGCCTGACTTTATCCTTCCCCAGTTTCTTCCACAGCTGAAGGAGACATTCTGCTGCTCTCTGTCGGTTGTTCATCTTCCCCCTTGGATTCATACTCGAACGGGGGTATGACAGTATGTTATTACTTTTTTATATACAATTGAACAGAATAACCAGAGTCAGGGATTACTAGCACAGATGTGCAAGGGGAACCTTTACCTTTATGTTATTACTATTGCAATGTTATACCACATTGCGCTATAATGTTTTACACCATATTATTTGTGTTAAGTTGCACTGGCTGCTAAGAAAGCTACATTCCTTACACCACTATGTTCTTTTTATTTTGAGTATCAAACCAAATTTGCTTGAAAATGTTTGCTAATAATGATACATTTTTTTTGGCTCCTGCCAAAAAAAAAAGCCAGTATGCCGGCTTCTGTGGTACTTTTTCTGCAACAGGTTTTCAATAATTAAGAGAAATTGAGCTTTCGTAGCTTTTTTGTTCCAAGACTTTCTTTGAACAAAGTTAGAGAAATCAGGGTTAAATTGAAGTCCAGTCAATCATGTCTGACATTTCAGAAAATCTTTCAGAAATAAACCGCTGGATCATTTTAGTGAAATATTGATAACAACTTTAAGGAATAGGCTTAGAGCCAAAGGAGATGAATTCAGCAGGATAAGAAGCTTCATGGTTTTTCGTCAAAGTTCATTCTTCTCAACACCTTGACCACAGCCCTGTGGACATCCTTATTCCGCAAAGTATAAATAATGGGGTTAAGCAGAGGAGTGACCACAAGGTACATAACCGCAACATTCTTGTTCCTATCAGGAGATGAGCTTGATTGGGGGATTATATATATAGACATGATGGTACCATAGAACAAGGTGACCACAACAAGGTGGGAGCCACAGGTGGAGAAAGCTTTATGCCACCTTGCAGCTGACCGCATTTGACAAATGGAATACAGGATGCAACCATAGGAACACAAGATAACCCAAAAGGGAACCATGACAATAATTGCTGAAAGACTATTGAAAATGGCTTTGGTGACTTTAATATCATTACAGGCGAGATCTAGCAAAAAATGCAGCTCACAGAAGAAGTGGTTGATGTGGTTGGGACCACAGAAGGAATGTTGAAGGATGAAAAAGACATTGACCATGGAGAAAAGACCACCTATGATCCAGCAGGAGGTGGCAAGCAAATGGCGATGCTTCATGTCCATGGCAGAGGTGTATCTCAAAGGGTTGCAGATGGCCAAGTAGCGATCATAAGCCATGACACCCAACAGCAAACATTCAGTACTACCTAAGCTCAGAGCACTGGCTCCCTGTAAAATGCAACGGGTCAAGGAAAGTGCTCCTTTTCCAAACAGGAGATGGGCTAAAGTCTGAGGCATCGTGGTAGTGACATAGACAATATCCAACCCTGCAAGATGGCTGAGGAAGTAGTACATAGGTGTGT